AATAAGAAAAGGAAATAGAAGCTACAATGACATTTAGGAGTTGCATCTCAGGAGAGGCTAGGTTATTGTGAGGTGCCAAACAACATTAAAAATCTTAGTGATTTAAAATAATTATTTCTCGCTTTTGCTACTTGGCCATACTGGATTTTGGGAATTTGAGTGATGGCCATGAGTGTAAGTGCAGTTTTTTTTTTTTTTTTTTGAATTGGAGTCTCACTCTGTCGCCCAGACTGGAGTGCAGTGGCCGCTCCCGGCCACTGCAGCCTCGACCTGCTGGGCTCTGGCGGTCCTTCCACCTCAGCCTTCCGAGTAGCCGGAATTACAGGCATGCGCTACCATGCCCGGCTGATTTTTGATTTATGTAGAGATAAGGTCTTGCTGCCCAGGCAGGTCTCGAACCCACGGGCTCAGGCAATCCACTCACCTCAGCCTCCCAAAGGCGCGGGATTACAGGCTGAGCCACCGAGTCCTGCGTAAGTGCAGTTTTTTATTGCTCATACTTGGCACCTGAAGAGCCAAGGGCTAACAGATTTTACCTTCTCATGATAGTGTCATCTCAGAGTCAGAGTTCAGCCTTGCTGCAGCAGGACAAAAACATTGGCAGTGATTCTGCTTGGAAGCAATATTTCTAATCACATTTTATTGGCCAAGGCCAATAGTATCATAGCTAGTATCATTTCTTAGAGGGGACAGAAATGTGTGATCTTCCATGCATTTAGAATAGAGGAGAATCGAATATTTATAAACTCTGGCAATGTTTTCCTATGAAATTCTTTGCTTTAGAAAATAGTAAGGGAATAACTAAAATTGCCGAGGGAGAAATCATAACAAAGACAGAGGACACAACTCATACTGGGTTAGCAATGGAAAGATAAGTTTAACAACAGGAAGAGCTTAGTGTATCTATGTATTATAAACCTTTGAAATAGCATAGTTAATTATAGGTTGGACATAGGTTTTTTGGAAAGCAACCCTTAATTTTATGTAGAAATTATTGTAAATGACTGCATGTTATCGTTTTCTACTCCCTAATTAAGCTTCATGTGTTTTAGACATTTTTGGTTTACCAGTTTGGAAATATCTCTGAAGCACTAATGAATTATTTCAGAATCTTTTTTAAAGATTACAAATTCACTAAAATAGAAAGTATATTTTGCTATTCTTTTAGAAAATAACTATTTTTCTAAATGCATGGTCCAGGCCTTTTGATGAGGGATCATTTATATTTGATTTTCATTACTGTCTGGATTCAGTGATTATAGAATATATATAAAAATCTATATGACATGAAAATTATAATGCAAGAACCTAAAATAACAATGTTACAACTGGGTGAGGGGGAGTACTGAGATGATCGCTAAACATCTCAAGCCAATTGGCATATGTAAGCAAAAAAAGCTTCTTGTCTGAGTTTACCTAAATGTTGAGTGTTTGGTATTTTGATTCCCTAGTGCAGTTGGACTAGTTTGTTTTTGTCTGCAAACCACAATCACCATTATAATGTACAGCATATAACTAGCTAATAGTTTAAGGCTTTGCCATGTTTATTTGGCACCATTTAAAAAAGCATACTCAGGCTTTCATTATGCAATAAACTTATTGAGCACATAGTAATACTAGAATACGAGTTAACATTTATGCAGAGCTTATCTCACATTTTATACCTTTTTGAACTTAAAGAGTAGCTTACATGTATAGACTTTGACATATACCTTCACAAACTTTTGTATACTACTTCTGATTCGATGTATAGCATATTCTTATCCTCCTAGAACAAAAATCAGCAACTTTTTCTGTAAAGAGCCTGATAGCAAATATTTTAGGTTGTGTAGGCCATTTCATCTATGTAGCAACTACTCAACTCTGCCATTGAAGGGCAAATACAGGCAGACAATATAGAGACAAATAAGGGAAAGTGAATTCCAACAAAACTTTATTTAGCTTGATCTAGCCGTGGGCTATAGTTTACTATGCCCTAGAAACTTCTAGGTAGGCACTTTACATTTAACCCTTCTAGTGACCCTCTGAGGTAAGTATTCTTTTAGAACTTTACTGAGGTATAATTTACATACAATAAACTACAGTTAGGAAAGTTTTGACATCACTGTAATCAATATTGCCAATGTTTCCATCATCCTCAAGGTATTCCTATGTAATCCTGTGTAGTCCCTTTGTAATCTATACTCTGCCTTTCCCAAGGCAGCTACTGATCTGCTTTCTTTTACTCTATTGTCATAGTTGCCATTTTTAGAATTTGATATAAATAAATGAATTTATATAGTGTTTCCAACCCCCTCTCTGATCTGGCTTCTTTTACATAGTGATTTTGAGACTCATCCAAGTTATTGCTTGCATCCGTATTTTTAATCCTTTCCTTTCTGTTGTTTTCATTGCTTGAATATACCATAGTTTATTAATCTGCTGGTTTACATTTGATTTGTCTTCAGTTTTTGCCTCTTAAAAGTAAAGTAACTGTGAGCATTAATGAACAGGACTTTGAGAGTTCCAATTTATCCATATGCTCACTCGGTATAGTCATACCTTAATTTTGACCATTTTTGTGGGTGTGAAGTTGACATCTTGTGATTTAAATTTGCATTTATTTAATGGCCAATTATGTTGAACGTCTTTTCCTATGCTTATAATTGTATCATATGCGTTCTTTGGTAAAATATCTGTTCCAATCTTTTACTCACTTCATCAATTGGGTTTTTTATCTTCTTATTTTGTAATCTTAAGAGTTTTATATATTCTAGGTACAAGTTTTTATCAGATATATGATTTGCATTTTTTCTTTCAGTCGGTACTTTTTCTTTTCATTTGCTTAATTGTATAATTGACACCATTTTGAGTTATTATATAGTATGGTTGTTTTAAAAGTATATGCTCTTATGTGAAGACTGTCAGTTAAATCTGAATCCTAGTCTCAGGACCTAAAGAAAATTAATTAATATTTCTAAGCCACAGGGTCCTCATCTAAAATTTCTTGTCATAGACATTTCTAATTTTCTTGTGCTTTATCAAAAAGTTTAAAATATTTAAATATGACTTGGTATGACTGGTAGAAAGAAATACTTGGGATTTATGGATGAGTCGCTGAAAAAAGCAACAGTCACTAAAGCTTAATAGTTCTTTGTTAACTTATAGATTTCTATACTTTTATTTTACTACTAGTTTGACATCTTACCCTCTTTTCTAAATTAAAGGAATAATCCAAAGGAATACTTTTTTATAACTATGTGATTATCTTGAAGTCTTAATCTTTCCATTTTTTTTTAACCTAAGGCTATCTTAATGTGACTAATTTATCTTTCTGCTTAGCCCTTTCATATTCAATAATTAAAATTTGTAAAAATGGAGGTAGTTGATAACATGTGACATTTGAATTAGAGTCTGAATCACTTTAATGCATATATATTGTCTTTCTATAGAACAGTACAATATTGACTTTGAACAGCTGGTATATCCTTTGTGAGCATGACCTGTGGGATTATTAAATGTTCATTTATGGAAAATGTACAATGCTAACTTTTTAAAAAAATGTCAGCATTATAATCCAATGAGCTGTATAGTTGATTGGTCAGATTTACATTGCCAATAAAATATGAACACAGCAGTAAAGTTTCATATGTGACCATTTGTTATACAATTCAGACCTTTGTGCTATTATAATACAATTTCAGGTAAACCCATATGAGGACTTGTTACAAAGTAAATGATCTTTAAGTTCATCTATTTAAACTTGACCACTGTTGTACTCTTCTTTCATTCCATAAAGCAATAAATAAAACTACATGATGGCATTGTAGAGTCAGGGGGAAAAATAATCTTATATTTTGGGATAGGTTTGAATCTTTTGTAAATAAAGTATAGAGTAAATATATCAATAAAATATATATAAGGGTTGTTTCTCATTATGTGTTTAGTAAGACACTAAAAAGTTAAATAGGAAAAGTTCTATTAAAAACACATGATGTCTTTATCATAGATCAAAACTAATAAATCTCAGATTTGCAGATTGCCAGTCACTTTTTCCCTTTACACTCTAGTTAGTAATTTGACTGCCCAAAGATATGAGCATAAGAAGTCAAGACAACTACAAGATAGTTTAGATTGGCTGCTATCTATTTCCTTAGGCATGTAGGAATCGGAAGACCTAGATTCTAGTACCGTCTTCTTGAGCTAGTGATGCTATAGTCCTAACCAATCATCTCTTTGCCTTTGCCTGTTTTTTATCTGTCAGATGATAAGGGTCCTTCCTGTGTCAACGATTAGTACAATAGAAGATAGAAGATAATAAGAGAATGTTTTGCAAAGTCCTATATAATGTATGTAACAGATTTTCCCAGTGTTTAACATAAGTTAAATTATTTTAAAAGTGCAATATTTGAAGAACTCCAAAATTGATTTTTTTGTAATAACACAACCAGTTGTGCTGCTTTTTATTCTGAAATAGATTTTTGTGTGTCTGCTTCTTAGAGGAGCAATCTTGCATATCCAGTCAAAAGTGGGTGTAGACTAGCGATGTGAAGAAAAGATGACTTGAGAACATGAGCTACTTTATCTCCTGTCCAGTCCTAATCTTTCTGACTAGGATGTTACCCACTGCACTTATCTCCTTCCTGCAGGCTTCATTTCTTCTATTCTTGTCTCTTCTTCCTCCACTCCCAGCTTTCTTCTTTTCTTTAATACCTCTCTTCTTAAGGTTGGAGAAAAGGAGGAGGAAACAACAGACTATAGCTTTAAATATTGTCATGTTGATGTTTACAGAAAATGTGTTGTACAGCACATAAAACTAGCTAATTGTGTGCTCACACCAAGTTATCAGACACTTCTGTAAAGGTCATGGTCTGTATGGATATCCTGAATTCCCAGAGTATGTTGCTATAAAATGGGAAATATTTGTCTATAGTGTTATTTTTAGGATCAAAGGGGTTGTACCCGAAGATAGACTCTGCCTAAATTACAGGTTTTTAATCTCTTCTTGTATTTATTTCTAGGGCAGGAGCGATTTGGCAACATGACCCGTGTATACTACAAGGAAGCTGTTGGTGCTTTTGTAGTCTTTGATATATCGAGAGGTTCTACATTTGAGGCAGTCTTAAAATGGAAAAATGATCTGGATAGTAAAGTTCATCTTTCAAATGGCAGCCCTATTCCTGCTGTCCTCTTAGCTAACAAATGTGACCAGAAAAGGGACAGTAGCCAAAGTCCTTCTCAGATGGACCAATTCTGCAAAGAACATGGCTTCACTGGATGGTTTGAAACCTCTGCAAAGGTGAGATCCAGTTTGCTTATGAATCTGTTCTGCTGTTTAGCTTGTAAGTCTGAGCTATAACTATAAAGTATTTAGATGGGTTTATGTAAGTGGTTTTTGGAAGCTGAGAAAATGTGAAGCATAGCATGGATATGTTATAGCTTCTCTCAGTCTGCTGCAGAACTGTTTTCAAAATTGACTAATGAGAAAGTGAATAGAAAGGCAGATTTCACATCAAATTAAAAATGAGTTATTATTAAGAGCAAAAAGTAAATGATATTTTCTGTGAGTTTGAGTATTTAACTGAGGTACTTCTCATGCGACTGGAGTGGATGGGGGTATTGTCAAGCAAAGCATGTCTGATTTTTACAAAAGACTTAACTGAAATACAGGAAAATGCCCTGGGCGAAGATGTATGTCACATGCATGACCATGTGAAAAGGTCAGAGAGAAGATTTATTCAGATGATGTTTGAAGAGTTTAGATTAACTGTGTATGAAAGAATTTAAACAAGAGGAAAGTATCAACATTTGTGGTATGCTTTCTTTATTATGGAAAACTGGATCAAATATTTTTAAAGGGAAAATAGAACACTAAGATGCTTTCAAAAATTTTAACATTCTATTGGGTTATGTGCATTGGAAGTTTAAATTACAAATCAGATTTATGCAAGAATGGTGAAATGCGTGAGAAATTATGTGATGAAAAATTAACATTAAATCATAAATTTGTTGTAATTGTAACACAGTTCTAGCTTTTGGTATGTTTTCTGTGGACTTCAAATATACATGTTTTATGTGTGTATATGTGTGTGTGTGTGTTTATATATGTATATATGTTTCATTGTTCCTCTAAATCACCTACCTCATTCTGGATATTTACCACTAGGTTACTTTTAGCTTTACTAGAAACTCACCCCAAAGTGAAAAATTGCTTGACGCCAGTGATGATCAGACTGATGAAAGCGAACACTGAGAGAACACACAAAAGAGCAGCTTCAAAAATATTGAGTGATAATGGTATCCTAGGGAAAAAAGACTGTCCACTGGAGACAGAGGCATATACTTTTAAGCTAGAGGCTAATTGTTTATATAAATACAGTATCTTACAATTTTACTTCATAAATAATAGTGGTGGAAGAAAGATGAAGCCCAGAGGTGCTATAGGAGCACTTAGCCTGGCACGAAGGAAGAAATTGTAGGAGAAAGGCTTCTTCCAAAGGACTTGTTCTGAAAAGCCATGTCCTCTGTCTGCTCTGCTTGTCTGTTGGGTGATTTATTTTGCTTCCTAACTTTCCTAGCTTTGGAGAAAAAAATAAAAGTAAATGTAAATATTTATGCAAGTGTGTATTTTAGTGGAAGACTTCTATATATTACAGATAAAATTCCTCTTTAGACTTTATTTAATTGATGTTTCAGGTAATCATTTCAAATTTGCCCCCAGAATCTAGATGTAAGACTCATAAATGGTGATACCACATGACTTGTGGCTTGAGACTGTATAAATCATCAGTTTCATTGTATGTATAGACAGGATTACATGTAGAAATGAAAGAGGAAATACTGGTTAAGAGTAAAAGTTTCAGGTATTTTCTGTGCTTCCCTATAAATGCAATAAAAGCAGCTTCTGCAAAATTTCCTTAGTAATAAACCTGGAGTGTTTTCAAGAGAATAGTAATAAAATGGTAATGAAAAATGTAGATTAAAAGTTTTAGGGTCAAGGCTTAAAATACTGTCTAGGTGTCACTAATAGCTATACTTTGAGCTGCCCAGCAACTAACTTCTAAGCCAAGGTTTGCTTGAGTTCCAGTAGTCTGAGTTTCAGTAGGAACATAGTCAAAAAATAATTTTGAATTCATGAATTTTATTATTTTGCTTTTACAGCAAACTGGATTTCTAACATGAAACTTTGTGACTGATTAAACTAGCATACGGTAATCTTTGCTCTTAATCAATTGCTTCCAAATGCAGACAGAGAATTTTATAATTATTTGATATAATGGGGATGTTGAAGACTGAATGATACTTGGACATTCAAAACATTCGTACTTAAATTAAAGTTAACACTTATCTTGGGAGTGGAGTTAAAAAAAAAGCTTATATAAATACTTGTATAAATAGCGTATCTCTTCTTGGTTTCTCATTGTCTAAAAAGGACATTACAAATAAGGAAAAAGGCTACAGTTAACCTTGTAGTACTGGATTGGGTTAGATATCAATATGAACTTAAGGTTTCATATATATTTGTGTGTGTGAGTTTATGTATTATATATGTGTATATATTCACACATATGTATAAACAGAAAGATAAAGAAGTAGATACCAATCTATGTATGTACACATAAATATTTTACTAGCTGTGTCTACCGAGAGGGCTTAGAAATGATGACACCACAGAATGAATAAACTTACCTAGTCCTTGGAATTTGCTTTTTAAATATCATTCTTTAGTAAAAAGAATGGGAATTCCTGAAGAGATTACTGATTCCAGGGCTTGTGGGATAAGGAAAGTATAGATGAGATATTTTGTGGTGCCAGAAACTAAGGAAGCATGAAATAATGGAGACATACTCCAAAGATGCAGGAGACAACTGTAGGAGCTCTGAAAATCTAAGACAATATGAGCAATAAAGTAAATACTTATTGTGGTGAGTTTAATTCATAGGATAAAATAATAATCCATGATGTGAATAAACAAATGAGTAAATAAATATGGGAGAAGAGAATATCTAACAGTAAAATTTCAATTAATAAATGTAGAAGAAATGATAGAAATAAAAAGTCAACATTGAGCACCATGTTCATAATTGTTTTAGGGACAAATCAGTTGAAGCTAAAATTAGTGGGGGAAAGTATATGAGAAACAGGATATTTATATATTTGTACTCACTGAATACAAAGAGAAGAATAATACTTTTTCAGAGAGAAACCTGGCAAACATAACTTTAAGCAAATGTGCTTTCTGATGTACTGAGAAGGGCATATCACTTGGGTTTTGTTCCTGCCAAACTTGAGAATGTAATGAAAAGGAAGCATCAAATGATCTGGATTGTAGGATATTCGTTGGCCACTGCTTTCGGAGAGTGTCAGGGTCACTGAGTGAAAGACAAGAAGACTGAGGAACTGTTCGAGATTAAAAGACACCCAGGAGACTTGACAATGAAATACAGTTTGTGATCCTGGATCAGAAATAAGACATTGAGATAATTGGTGCAATTTGAATAAGACAGTTTAACACTGACACAACATAATTATATAATTTCCTGGTTTCAATAGTTGTTTTTTGGTTGTCTAAGATGTTAACATTTGAAAAATTTGAGTGAATGGTAGACAGGAAAGTTTACTATTTTTAAAAATGTCTTTATACATCTCAAATTATGTCAAAATGAAAAGTTAAATATTTTTAAAAATAAGCAGTTTTTTCTATGTGTTACTGATTGTATATTTAATGACAGCTTATAATTCAGTCATATAACTAATGATTCCTTAGGGTGTCCTTAATGGACATCATACTCACAACATTGCTTCAGGCTCATTTATGCATGACAACTAAAAAGGATGACGTACTTAGAGATGGAGAAGTGGCACGATATATTATCATATTTTAATGTGGTTTGAGTTCTTTCCTTTTTTTTTCATAATGTGCTCTGAATACTTGAATTACATATGTTCGAGGGCAGGTGTTCTTCAGTCTGAATGTCTGCATTATTTGAGTGATGACCTAGAGCACAGTGAAGATTCATTTTCAACCACTGAGATAGTTCATTGAACCTCAGTAGTAAAAGTTTAAAACAGGAACATCAGAAAGGGTGTCCGTGATAAAAAGTACCTTCCATAGCCACATTACTCAATAGCATAGAAATCTTCATAGGCACACACTTTAGTATTAGAGAAGGAGAGAGTAGCTAGTATACTTATAATGCCTTCTCTGTCAATTTTCCTAGTTTCTATTAATATTCCATTAATTATTCTAAGAGTTAATGCTAAGATTTAATTCTATTCTTCATTTCTGCTTTACAGGATAACATAAACATAGATGAAGCCTCTCGGTTCCTGGTGGAGAATATTCTTGCAAACCACCAAAGCTTTCCTAACGAAGAAAACGATGTGGACAAAATTAAACTAGATCAAGTAACCTTGAGAGCAGAGAGCAAATCCCAGTGTTGCTGACATGGTCTCAGCTTGTCTTGTACCTGCCTCAGCTCCTAGTGAGTTTCTGAGATCAGGTTAATAATGGCATGCTGGCTGTGAGCCTTCCCACATGCCACTTCAAATGGCACCACCACTGGGTGCTTATTTGAAATGGAACTTTTGGAGAAATATCCCTGTTAGTGACTCTGCAACTTACCAGATAACAAAAGGTTCTGTTGTTGTTGCCAACATATTGAGGATAGCGTTTACATCTTTTTTAATGTCTTTTTAAAATGACGGTTCCTCAGGATTTGGTAAGATTTTCCAATTGTAGCTGTTAGTGTAAGTGCTGGTTTGGTAATAAACTTTATCTCCAGTCTTAGTCATTTTGAGTCTATATTTTTGTCTCTTTCTTCTTTCCTCACTTTTGAGAGAGGATTTTATACTCTGTCAGCCACAAAGGCTTGAAGTTTTTCTTTAGCAATTTTCTTTTCAAAACTTCATGTAAAGCTGTACCTTAAATATAACTTAACCAGTTGTAACTGGTGTGGTATGTGGTCACTCAAACACATTAAAGTATCCTTCCTAATTACTCAAAAAGTTATCACACCACACTTGTATTATGAATGTCTACTTCTGGATCTTGTTGCTACCCCTAGGAAGCAGTATAAATGAGCATTTTTTTTCTTTCTCGCTAGTCCTTTCTCTCTTCTTGCCATGTACTTTTGTTTATAACTGAAAGCCTGGATGATGTCTCTGTTGTAATTCTCTCTAACTGGAGCTAATGATCAGAGAGAGAATGCTTTCAAAGCATATACAATTAAATCTGTGCTTCTATGGTATGAATTGTGAAAGACACTAGTTTGTGTATGGTTTTATATAAGGTTTTGGACATTTAAATTACAATACCTGAAAAACTTAAGGTGGCCTTACAATATTTGTATTATTGTTTAACCCAAGTAAGGAAAATAATAAATATTTTGACTAAAGCCTTATTTTTGAATTAATGTGTTTCCAGAAAGGTGGTATGAGATATACTTTTCTGCCTTAGAAGACTTTGTTCACTTTTGCCTTTTATTTTTAGGGGACTTTTTATATCATGTCCAACTTACTGACTTAAAAAAGGTCCAATTTATTTCTTCAAAGCTAATGCAAAATGAGAAACTGACCAAATCTGTCTTACATGTTAAATTGAACAAGAAAGATCTGTGAATTTATTAAGGACAGGAAGAAAAAAAAAACTAGCATAAAAGTGCATTTGCTCTGAGAGGTGTGTTCTGGAAATAAATAGTAGTTGTCATGGGCCATAAAATGTAGCTCTCTTCTCATTAAACCTAAGCCTTGCCTAGAAATCACAATTATGCTAATAGTCAAGTAAAAAACCTTTTGACCTCTTTGTATGTAGTCTACATTGAACTAGATTTTTAAGTGAAAGACCCTGATTTAAGTAATACTTATCATTTAATTAATATAATACCTTTTAATGTTTTAAAATATTGAATTAAATTTTGCTTTCTAAGATATATGTGTCATACTCTAAAATTTGTTCTACTTTAGGTACACAGTACAATTTTCAAACATTTTTTATATTTCTAAGTCCAAATATAAAATGGTACCAAACCCAAAATCTTAGAAATATAAAGCTTGTCCTAAGTAGTTATTAAAAGAGGCTGAAGTCCACTTGGAAATATCTTTTTTCATATATTGATATTTATTTTTACAAGAAATCCATTGTGTGTAAATTTCTTTAGCAGTAGATTCAAAATCAGGAGTACTGCACTTTCTTTGTCTATCTTTACAATTTTTGTTAACTTCTCATAGGATAATTTTAAGTATCAATCATATCTTAAATAATTGTTTTTGTAAATGCTCAGGGTTCTTTGCCAGTGTGAGTTAGTTTACTATATTTACCATTTCCTATAATTTAGAAATAAAACTGAATAACCTAAAATCTTGCCACAATTTGCTTTTGTCATTTGAACATAAAATTTGAATTTTGGATAAGCTACATAAATGGCTAACGGAAAGAAGAGAATAGCTCTGACTTTCTTACTTATTTTGAAAAAAATCAGTCAGTTGCATACACACAGATGCACATGCAAATACAGTAGCTGAGACTGTTCTTGAGACACTGGCAAAAAGTATGGGAGACCTCATCAATTAGAAGGATATGTGTTTCTTTGCATAAGTCTCAGGCATTATAAAATTGTCAGTGTTTTAATCAGATATAGATATTCATCTCTATCTATAGATATCCCAAATATGTTTCTAAAATATGATTGTTACCATAAGCTGTGACTTTTCAAAGTTTTGTTTGGTTTCCTGAAATATGTAATGAAGCACACGAGTTGCTCAGGAAAATTCCTGAGCCTCACTTCAGACTTACAGAGTTAGTTTTCTAGGAATGAGACTCAGGAATTTGCTTGTACAAAAAAAAATTCTGGTATTTATTTTGAAAACTTCCTAGAGTAGGTAGCAATAGTTAAAGTATTATTCAGTTTGAAATCTGTGGTATTAATTGAAGCACGAACACTCTTAAAATATAGCACTTTCATTTCCATTGATAAATCATCATCATTCAAAATCTGAATATCTTAAAAGTGAGCGAGCAGTATAAATTTGCTTCCATCCACTGAAGAAAACAGGCTTGAGGGCTCTGATAGGTTGGACTAATATATAAGTATTGCTACAACTACCTAGACTTTGGAATTTTTTTTTTTTGTCATATTTCTATCTCATTGTTTCCCAAAGTGAGACAATTTGGAAATTAACCTTTAAATGCAAAAACAAGAAATAAAACTACAAAAAGTTTAGCATAGATGGAAAGACTAATGTTGGGCTGAGAGAATCCTTCTAAATTTTTAAATGCTAAAAGCCAAAGAGGAAAAGATAGATAATATTTGATGACATTAAAACATCTTGTATAGCAAGGCTATATAAGCAAAATGATTACAAGCAACAGTCAAAAGAAAATATTTGCAACTCATTTAATTAAATGAGTGTTAACAATAAGGATAAAAATGAAACCTCTAAGACAATGAGTAAAAATGGGTGAAGGATGTAAAACTAGTATTTTATGGAAAAGGCAAGTCTTAGTAAAAAGGAATTTTTAAAAAAAAATTAAAGCAAGGTGCTACTAGATTTACAAAAAAATGTATAAGGTAAATTATATCACTTACATTGCTAAGCATATATAGTAAAATAAGTATTCACAATTTGCTATTAGATTAAATTTAATAATTACTACCAAATTTCCCTCCAGTATTGCTGTTCAAGTTACACTCTCAGTCCATGTCTTACCAAGAACTCTTATTGTTGAGGAAGTACTATTAAAAACAAGATCCCTCCCCACTTTATGGAGAACTTCTCCCTAAAGATAGAAGAGAGAGGAAGCAGTTTTAGTATTAAATAAATATTAAACAGAATGTGATATGCATTACAGAAAATCCTATAAGAAACTGCAGACAGAAAGAAATCTTACTCTTTTATATAGCCAAGCAGATTCAATACATTACATATATGCCCTCAAGATATTAAATAGACCTCAGACAAATTACAGGACCATGTTCATTTAAAGTTCAGTCATGGTTCATCTAAAAATCGAAATGACCATCTGAGTTAGCAAATTGGCCTTCTCTGAGGGGGAAATCAACTTCTATATCTTTAACACAGGTGTTTAGCTTTGCAACTTATTGCAATGTGCTCACCAAAATTAGACTCCTATTCTTCTACAGAAATTAGGAGATAGGGCCATTTCCTTCCTTGAGAATCACATTTCAAAGAGATGGGTCCCAGGTCCTTAAGAAAGCTGGAGAGAAGCTAATTTAGCTTTTGAAAAGATTTGCACACATTTCAAAGAGAGAACCACCTTACAAGAACTGGAACTTAGATTCTTTCAGAAAAGAGGATGGTGAGCAACTGGGAAAAATCTCATTTTCACCAGGGAGAATTAAGTCTCTTATTTTTAATTTTTATTTGCCCTCACTGACAACTCTAGATAAATGTTTGGTATACAGGAGAAATATAGAGAAGTCTGTTCACTCCAGCATTGCTTGTACATACTTCATGTAAATTTCAAAAGTGGAAACAAATTCAATTTCTCATAGGGGTAAATAGAATGGACAATTGTATATCCATACTAGGAGATACTCTACAGCAGTATAGTAACATTTAAGTAAAAATGTGTGTTAAGGATGTAAAGGCTTATGAGCCTTTGGAAAAATTAATACCAAATTTCTGATTGTGATTGGGAGAAAGACTGGAATCGGGGACGTTGGTCAAAGCTTACTTTAGCTTTTTATATAAGGTTTACATTTTTATGGCAATGTATTATAGGTGTTATTAACAGTTAATTTTACACTGATTACCATGTTTGCTATACTATATTGAAAAGGAGAATTCTCATTTGGAACACGAGGGTTTAAATAAATAACTGGTTTGAATTACCTTACTTTTTACTGCATTTAGTGACATCAGCAATGATTTTACCCTTTTCAGATCTTAAATATTCATTTAAGATATTAATATTTAATAAACTAGCTAATTTCTTTAACATCAGTCACTGAAGTCATCTAACTCAGAGTAAAAATGTCCATCTACATTTGCATGGTGTGAATTTTTTGTTGCTGCTCACTGTAGTCAATATCCAAGAACAGATAACTGTGCAATTTAAAGGACAGTTTTTACATGCCTGTAAAATCATCAGCTACCCATTTCTTTTACATAGGATTCTGTTTTGAAAAGTGAACATATAATAGCATGATTCTTATTTCTAATGTGTCAAGTTGTGTGTTTATGTGCAAGGAAGAGGAAGAGGTAGGAGTATGGTGATAGTGCTTAGAGTTACATATAAAGCACTGCTGGTACTATTTACACAGCAGCAATTCAATCTCCTACCTCTGAAAAGTCACTTGAACACCACCAGATGTTACTGGTCTACAAGACCGTCAGCATTCCCCAAATGAAGTCCATTAGCTTTCAATCTTCTCCCCACTGCTAAATTTTTCCTAGAGACTTAAGAGCTTATTATAATTTAGATAAATTATGATTATATTCACTCTAAGATAACATGTAATACTATCTTTTAGTGGTATGATTATTTTTCTTAAATTTTGGACCACATTAAATTTATTCTCTCCCTTATACGAACTTTGCTTTTGAGTTTTTAGTGTATGGCTAGTCATGCTGTTTTGTGATTTCAGATCCCACAGATCCTACAGAACTTTAAAGAAATACAGCAATTGAAAATAAAATTTCGGTTGAGTCTGGCTTCAATTTAAATTCGGCATTCCATTTAATTTGTCATCTGTGGTTAAAGAGTAATATCTATGGATTTCTTTTTTTATTGATTATAAACTTTTAGATAATTTCTCCAAAAACTTTTCTCCTTTAGAAATTTTGTGCTGTAAAGTACTATAGTACTCTCGTGCTGGTGACTCAGGAAAAGTTTAATAGCTGTTAGTAGAATCTAATTTTGCATAACATCTTTAAAAATGGAATATATACTCCAGACTAGTTTTTGTATTACTGTTAATACTTGAGCATATTTCTATCTAATCCTATTTAACAGGATGTCGATTTAATGGTAAATTTGATACGTGTTGCCAGTGATTTGTAATATGTGTAACAGTGGACCCTATACAGAAAAGAAATATAGTTAAACTGGAAACTTGATGACAGGATACATATCGTAAGTCATTCCTCATATCATGCTCTCAAGTAATGGTCACTGCTAACTAGAAGTCAGCTCATTTTACAACATTTAAAGAAACATCTCAGTATCAGATGAACACTGGTTGGGCATGGCAATTCATTCATACCTCTACCAGCACTTTGGGAGGTCGAGGCAAGAGGATTGCTTGAGCTCAGGAGTTTCAGACCAGCCTGGGTGAAATAGTAAGACTACTTCTCTACAAAAAAATCATAAACTTAGCTAGACATGGTGATGTGCAGTTACAGTCCCAGCTCCTCAGAAGGTGGAGATGGAAGG